GTCAACCCGACGCGCCCGGCCAGGCCGACTGTCCAAATAAAGCCGAGCCCGGAGCCGTGCGCGATCAAGTTAAGTGATCCGAACACGAGAGGCATGCCGCCCGACCGACGGCCGACCGACGGCCGACCGACCAGGCACTGCGCTCCTATTTGACCGGTCACTCGTATCGTCATTCACACCATCGCGCGCTGTCATCACCAGCAGAAGGGGGAGTTCTTATCATAATACGGTGTGTTCTCCTGCTGGAACTTTACTTCTTTTGCAAATAAAGGTACATAACAGATTTTCGTAAGGCGTTAAAAAATAATTTTTATTAGTATTTCATCGTTATTTCTGTACCGATTAGACACTTTTACGGGATGTAGTTGTTTAAATTTTTGAAATTTCACCTACCCCTGGTATTTAGGATATTAAAAACCGCGTTTTTTTCTGATGCACCTAACAATTCCTTCAATTGCAAATGTTTGACGAAATTGACGGTTTTAAACTGTACTGCCGTAGATACGATTTAAACTTTTAATAATACGGCTATACTTGCAGTGAAAATGACGTCGATTGGCCTGGGAATTTTGTGGACCAGAAACGACAGAAAATTATGTCAGGCGCGAAATTCGCATTATTTGCGTTCATACAATCCCCCTATTAAAAAGGGGGCGAAACCCGAGCTGCCTTTTGTGCTTACCCTTCCATATCGACCGCAAGAGAAAGCAGCAGACGACACGGCAGGAGCCCAGGGTGGCTGCGGCTGGTGCGGCTCGATGAGCCAACGATGGGGCGGGGGAATCAAAAAAAAAAAAAAGGAGGAAAGCACCAGCCGGGCTGGTAAGGGATGCCACCTTATTTCCATGGCCACCCCCTCCCCTCCTCCTCCTCCTTAGTGACGACTTAAGAGTGCGAGCGCGCCCGCCCCCGCGGCGCACCCCTAAGTGCGTTCATTTCTAACCTAAGGAAAATTCAATCGCCTTGATGGATAAATTGATTGTCGCCGCGTGGGCGGGTGTCGCGCGCTCCCCTCCTCGTCGTC